GGTGCTGCTGCCATTGTAGTTGGTGGTGTATAGGGTGGAGGTGGATAGAACAGAAGCAGAGCCAACCATGCCTGGAACATAGGAGGTGATCACAGATGGCATTGGTGTCTCAACAATCACAACACCAATGTGGGTGCTGCTGCCGTTGTTGTCGGTGGTGTACATGGTGGAGGTGGAGACAACAGAAGAAGAACCAACCATGCCTGGAACATAGGAGGTGATCACAGATGGCATTGGGGTCTCAACAATCACAACACCAATGTGGGTGCTGCTACCGTTGTAGTTGGTGGTGTACATGGTGGAGGTGGAGACAACAGAAGAAGAACCAACCATGCCTGGAACATAGGAGGTGATCACAGATGGCATTGGGGTCTCAACAATCACAACACCAATGTGGGTGCTGCTACCGTTGTAGTTGGTGGTGTACAAGGTGGAGGTGGATAGAACAGAAGCAGAACCAACCATGCCTGGAACATAGGAAGTAATGACACTTGGCATTGGGGTCTCAACAATCACAACACCAATGTGAGTGCTGCTACCGTTGTAGTTGGTGGTGTACATGGTGGAGGTGGACTTAATAGAAGAAGAACCAACCATGCCTGGAACATAGGAAGTAATGACACTTGGCATTGGGGTTTCAACAATCACAACACCAATATGAGTGCTGCTGCCGTTGTAGTTGGTGGTGTACAGGGTGGAGGTGGATAGCACAGAAGCAGAACCAACCATGCCTGGAACATAGGAAGTAATGACACTTGGCATTGGGGTCTCAACAATCACAACACCGATGTGAGTGCTGCTGCCGTTGTAGTTGGTGGTGTACAGGGTGGAGGTGGATAGCACAGAAGCAGAACCAACCATGCCTGGAACATAGGAAGTAATGACACTTGGCATTGGGGTCTCAACAATCACAACACCGATGTGAGTGCTGCTGCCGTTGTAGTTGGTGGTGTACAGGGTGGAGGTGGATAGCACAGAAGCAGAACCAACCATGCCTGGAACATAGGAAGTAATGACACTTGGCATTGGGGTCTCAACAATCACAACACCAATATGAGTGCTGCTGCCGTTGTAGTTGGTGGTGTACAAGGTGGAGGTGGATAGAACAGAAGCAGAACCAACCATGCCTGGAACATAGGAAGTAATGACACTTGGCATTGGGGTCTCAACAATCACAACACCAATATGAGTGCTGCTGCCGTTGTAGTTGGTGGTGTACAGGGTGGAGGTGGATAGAACAGAAGCAGAACCAACCATGCCTGGAACATAGGAAGTAATGACACTTGGCATTGGGGTCTCAACAATCACAACACCAATGTGGGTGCTGCTACCGTTGTAGTTGGTGGTGTACAAGGTGGAGGTGGAGACAACAGAAGAAGAACCAACCATACCTGGAACATAGGAAGTAATGACACTTGGCATTGGGGTTTCAACAATCACAACACCAATGTGGGTGCTGCTGCCGTTGTAGTTGGTGGTGTATAGGGTGGAGGTGGATAGAACAGAAGCAGAGCCAACCATGCCTGGAACATAGGAGGTGATCACAGATGGCATTGGGGTCTCAACAATCACAACACCAATGTGGGTGCTGCTGCCGTTGTAGTTGGTGGTGTACAGGGTGGAGGTGGATAGCACAGAAGCAGAGCCAACCATGCCTGGAACATAGGAGGTGATCACAGATGGCATTGGGGTCTCAACAATCACAACACCAATGTGGGTGCTGCTGCCGTTGTAGTTGGTGGTGTACAGGGTGGAGGTGGATAGACACAGAAGCAGAGCCAACCATGCCTGGAACATAGGAGGTGATCACAGATGGCATTGGGGTCTCAACAATCACAACACCAATGTGGGTGCTGCTGCCGTTGTAGTTGGTGGTGTACAGGGTGGAGGTGGATAGAACAGAAGAAGAACCAACCATGCCTGGAACATAGGAAGTAATGACACTTGGCATTGGGGTCTCAACAATCACAACACCAATGTGGGTGCTGCTGCCGTTGTAGTTGGTGGTGTACAGGGTGGAGGTGGATAGAACAGAAGCAGAGCCAACCATGCCTGGAACATAGGAAGTAATGACACTTGGCATTGGGGTCTCAACAATCACAACACCAATATGAGTGCTGCTACCGTTGTAGTTGGTGGTGTACATGGTGGAGGTGGACTTAATAGAAGAAGAACCAACCATGCCTGGAACATAGGAAGTAATGACACTTGGCATTGGGGTCTCAACAATCACAACACCAATGTGAGTGCTGCTGCCGTTGTAGTTGGTGGTGTACAGGGTGGAGGTGGATAGAACAGAAGCAGAGCCAACCATGCCTGGAACATAGGAAGTAATGACACTTGGCATTGGGGTCTCAACAATCACAACACCAATATGAGTGCTGCTACCGTTGTAGTTGGTGGTGTACATGGTGGAGGTGGACTTAATAGAAGAAGAACCAACCATGCCTGGAACATAGGAAGTAATGACACTTGGCATTGGGGTTTCAACAATCACAACACCAATATGAGTGCTGCTGCTGTTGTAGTTGGTGGTGTACAGGGTGGAGGTGGATAACACAGAAGCAGAACCAACCATGCCTGGAACATAGGAAGTAATGACACTTGGCATTGGGGTCTCAACAATCACAACACCAATATGAGTGCTGCTGCCGTTGTAGTTGGTGGTGTACAGGGTGGAGGTGGATAGAACAGAAGCAGAGCCAACCATGCCTGGAACATAGGAAGTAATGACACTTGGCATTGGGGTTTCAACAATCACAACACCAATATGAGTGCTGCTGCCGTTGTAGTTGGTGGTGTACAGGGTGGAGGTGGATAACACAGAAGCAGAACCAACCATGCCTGGAACATAGGAAGTAATGACACTTGGCATTGGGGTCTCAACAATCACAACACCAATATGAGTGCTGCTGCCGTTGTAGTTGGTGGTGTACAGGGTGGAGGTGGATAACACAGAAGCAGAACCAACCATGCCTGGAACATAGGAAGTAATGACACTTGGCATTGGGGTCTCAACAATCACAACACCAATGTGAGTGCTGCTGCCATTGTAGTTGGTGGTGTACAGGGTGGAGGTGGATAGAACAGAAGCAGAGCCAACCATGCCTGGAACATAGGAAGTAATGACACTTGGCATTGGGGTTTCAACAATCACAACACCAATATGAGTGCTGCTACCGTTGTAGTTGGTGGTGTACATGGTGGAGGTGGACTTAATAGAAGCAGAACCAACCATGCCTGGAACATAGGAGGTGATCACAGATGGCATTGGTGTCTCAACAATCACAACACCAATGTGGGTGCTGCTGCCGTTGTAGTTGGTGGTGTACAGGGTGGAGGTGGATAACACAGAAGCAGAACCAACCATGCCTGGAACATAGGAAGTAATGACACTTGGCATTGGGGTCTCAACAATCACAACACCAATGTGAGTGCTGCTGCCGTTGTAGTTGGTGGTGTACAGGGTGGAGGTGGATAGAACAGAAGCAGAGCCAACCATGCCTGGAACATAGGAAGTAATGACACTTGGCATTGGGGTTTCAACAATCACAACACCAATGTGGGTGCTGCTGCCGTTGTAGTTGGTGGTGTACAGGGTGGAGGTGGATAGAACAGAAGCAGAGCCAACCATGCCTGGAACATAGGAAGTAATGACACTTGGCATTGGGGTCTCAACAATCACAACACCAATATGAGTGCTGCTACCGTTGTAGTTGGTGGTGTACATGGTGGAGGTGGACTTAATAGAAGAAGAACCAACCATGCCTGGAACATAGGAAGTAATGACACTTGGCATTGGGGTTTCAACAATCACAACACCAATATGAGTGCTGCTGCCGTTGTAGTTGGTGGTGTACAGGGTGGAGGTGGATAGCACAGAAGCAGAACCAACCATGCCTGGAACATAGGAAGTAATGACACTTGGCATTGGGGTTTCAACAATCACAACACCAATGTGGGTGCTGCTACCGTTGTAGTTGGTGGTGTACAGGGTGGAGGTGGATAGAACAGAAGCAGAACCAACCATGCCTGGAACATAGGAGGTGATCACAGATGGCATTGGGGTTTCAACAATCACAACACCAATGTGGGTGCTGCTGCCATTGTAGTTGGTGGTGTATAGGGTGGAGGTGGATAGAACAGAAGCAGAGCCAACCATGCCTGGAACATAGGAGGTGATCACAGATGGCATTGGTGTCTCAACAATCACAACACCAATGTGGGTGCTGCTGCCGTTGTTGTCGGTGGTGTACATGGTGGAGGTGGAGACAACAGAAGAAGAACCAACCATGCCTGGAACATAGGAGGTGATCACAGATGGCATTGGGGTCTCAACAATCACAACACCAATGTGGGTGCTGCTACCGTTGTAGTTGGTGGTGTACAAGGTGGAGGTGGATAGCACAGAAGCAGAACCAACCATGCCTGGAACATAGGAAGTAATGACACTTGGCATTGGGGTTTCAACAATCACAACACCAATGTGGGTGCTGCTGCCGTTGTAGTTGGTGGTGTACAGGGTGGAGGTGGATAGAACAGAAGCAGAGCCAACCATGCCTGGAACATAGGAAGTAATGACACTTGGCATTGGGGTTTCAACAATCACAACACCAATATGAGTGCTGCTACCGTTGTAGTTGGTGGTGTACATGGTGGAGGTGGACTTAATAGAAGCAGAACCAACCATGCCTGGAACATAGGAGGTGATCACAGATGGCATTGGGGTCTCAACAATCACAACACCAATGTGAGTGCTGCTGCCGTTGTAGTTGGTGGTGTACAGGGTGGAGGTGGATAACACAGAAGCAGAACCAACCATGCCTGGAACATAGGAAGTAATGACACTTGGCATTGGGGTCTCAACAATCACAACACCAATGTGAGTGCTGCTGCCGTTGTAGTTGGTGGTGTACAGGGTGGAGGTGGATAGAACAGAAGCAGAGCCAACCATGCCTGGAACATAGGAAGTAATGACACTTGGCATTGGGGTTTCAACAATCACAACACCAATGTGGGTGCTGCTGCCGTTGTAGTTGGTGGTGTACAGGGTGGAGGTGGATAGAACAGAAGCAGAGCCAACCATGCCTGGAACATAGGAAGTAATGACACTTGGCATTGGGGTCTCAACAATCACAACACCAATATGAGTGCTGCTACCGTTGTAGTTGGTGGTGTACATGGTGGAGGTGGACTTAATAGAAGAAGAACCAACCATGCCTGGAACATAGGAAGTAATGACACTTGGCATTGGGGTTTCAACAATCACAACACCAATATGAGTGCTGCTGCCGTTGTAGTTGGTGGTGTACAGGGTGGAGGTGGATAGCACAGAAGCAGAACCAACCATGCCTGGAACATAGGAAGTAATGACACTTGGCATTGGGGTTTCAACAATCACAACACCAATGTGGGTGCTGCTACCGTTGTAGTTGGTGGTGTACAGGGTGGAGGTGGATAGAACAGAAGCAGAACCAACCATGCCTGGAACATAGGAGGTGATCACAGATGGCATTGGGGTTTCAACAATCACAACACCAATGTGGGTGCTGCTGCCATTGTAGTTGGTGGTGTATAGGGTGGAGGTGGATAGAACAGAAGCAGAGCCAACCATGCCTGGAACATAGGAGGTGATCACAGATGGCATTGGTGTCTCAACAATCACAACACCAATGTGGGTGCTGCTGCCGTTGTTGTCGGTGGTGTACATGGTGGAGGTGGAGACAACAGAAGAAGAACCAACCATGCCTGGAACATAGGAGGTGATCACAGATGGCATTGGGGTCTCAACAATCACAACACCAATGTGGGTGCTGCTACCGTTGTAGTTGGTGGTGTACAAGGTGGAGGTGGATAGCACAGAAGCAGAACCAACCATGCCTGGAACATAGGAAGTAATGACACTTGGCATTGGGGTTTCAACAATCACAACACCAATGTGGGTGCTGCTGCCATTGTAGTTGGTGGTGTATAGGGTGGAGGTGGATAGAACAGAAGCAGAGCCAACCATGCCTGGAACATAGGAGGTGATCACAGATGGCATTGGTGTCTCAACAATCACAACACCAATGTGGGTGCTGCTGCCGTTGTTGTCGGTGGTGTACATGGTGGAGGTGGAGACAACAGAAGAAGAACCAACCATGCCTGGAACATAGGAGGTGATCACAGATGGCATTGGGGTCTCAACAATCACAACACCAATGTGGGTGCTGCTACCGTTGTAGTTGGTGGTGTACAAGGTGGAGGTGGAGACAACAGAAGAAGAACCAACCATACCTGGAACATAGGAAGTAATGACACTTGGCATTGGGGTTTCAACAATCACAACACCAATGTGGGTGCTGCTACCGTTGTAGTTGGTGGTGTACAGGGTGGAGGTGGATAGAACAGAAGCAGAACCAACCATGCCTGGAACATAGGAAGTAATGACACTTGGCATTGGGGTTTCAACAATCACAACACCAATGTGAGTGCTGCTGCCGTTGTAGTTGGTGGTGTACAGGGTGGAGGTGGATAGCACAGAAGCAGAACCAACCATGCCTGGAACATAGGAAGTAATGACACTTGGCATTGGGGTCTCAACAATCACAACACCGATGTGAGTGCTGCTGCCGTTGTAGTTGGTGGTGTACAGGGTGGAGGTGGATAGCACAGAAGCAGAACCAACCATGCCTGGAACATAGGAAGTAATGACACTTGGCATTGGGGTTTCAACAATCACAACACCAATATGAGTGCTGCTGCCGTTGTAGTTGGTGGTGTACAGGGTGGAGGTGGATAGCACAGAAGCAGAACCAACCATGCCTGGAACATAGGAAGTAATGACACTTGGCATTGGGGTCTCAACAATCACAACACCGATGTGAGTGCTGCTGCCGTTGTAGTTGGTGGTGTACAGGGTGGAGGTGGATAGCACAGAAGCAGAACCAACCATGCCTGGAACATAGGAAGTAATGACACTTGGCATTGGGGTCTCAACAATCACAACACCGATGTGAGTGCTGCTGCCGTTGTAGTTGGTGGTGTACAGGGTGGAGGTGGATAGCACAGAAGCAGAACCAACCATGCCTGGAACATAGGAAGTAATGACACTTGGCATTGGGGTCTCAACAATCACAACACCAATATGAGTGCTGCTGCCGTTGTAGTTGGTGGTGTACAAGGTGGAGGTGGACTTAATAGAAGAAGAACCAACCATGCCTGGAACATAGGAAGTAATGACACTTGGCATTGGGGTTTCAACAATCACAACACCAATATGAGTGCTGCTGCCGTTGTAGTTGGTGGTGTACAGGGTGGAGGTGGATAACACAGAAGCAGAACCAACCATGCCTGGAACATAGGAAGTAATGACACTTGGCATTGGGGTCTCAACAATCACAACACCAATGTGGGTGCTGCTACCGTTGTAGTTGGTGGTGTACAAGGTGGAGGTGGAGACAACAGAAGAAGAACCAACCATACCTGGAACATAGGAAGTAATGACACTTGGCATTGGGGTTTCAACAATCACAACACCAATGTGGGTGCTGCTGCCGTTGTAGTTGGTGGTGTATAGGGTGGAGGTGGATAGAACAGAAGCAGAGCCAACCATGCCTGGAACATAGGAGGTGATCACAGATGGCATTGGGGTCTCAACAATCACAACACCAATGTGGGTGCTGCTGCCGTTGTAGTTGGTGGTGTACAGGGTGGAGGTGGATAGCACAGAAGCAGAGCCAACCATGCCTGGAACATAGGAGGTGATCACAGATGGCATTGGTGTCTCAACAATCACAACACCAATGTGGGTGCTGCTGCCGTTGTAGTTGGTGGTGTACAGGGTGGAGGTGGATAACACAGAAGCAGAGCCAACCATGCCTGGAACATAGGAGGTGATCACAGATGGCATTGGGGTCTCAACAATCACAACACCAATGTGGGTGCTGCTGCCGTTGTAGTTGGTGGTGTACAGGGTGGAGGTGGATAGAACAGAAGAAGAACCAACCATACCTGGAACATAGGAAGTAATGACACTTGGCATTGGGGTCTCAACAATCACAACACCAATGTGGGTGCTGCTACCGTTGTAGTTGGTGGTGTACATGGTGGAGGTGGACTTAATAGAAGAAGAACCAACCATGCCTGGAACATAGGAAGTAATGACACTTGGCATTGGGGTCTCAACAATCACAACACCAATGTGAGTGCTGCTGCCGTTGTAGTTGGTGGTGTACAGGGTGGAGGTGGATAGAACAGAAGCAGAGCCAACCATGCCTGGAACATAGGAAGTAATGACACTTGGCATTGGGGTCTCAACAATCACAACACCAATATGAGTGCTGCTACCGTTGTAGTTGGTGGTGTACATGGTGGAGGTGGACTTAATAGAAGAAGAACCAACCATGCCTGGAACATAGGAAGTAATGACACTTGGCATTGGGGTTTCAACAATCACAACACCAATATGAGTGCTGCTGCTGTTGTAGTTGGTGGTGTACAGGGTGGAGGTGGATAACACAGAAGCAGAACCAACCATGCCTGGAACATAGGAAGTAATGACACTTGGCATTGGGGTCTCAACAATCACAACACCAATATGAGTGCTGCTGCCGTTGTAGTTGGTGGTGTACAGGGTGGAGGTGGATAGAACAGAAGAAGAACCAACCATACCTGGAACATAGGAAGTAATGACACTTGGCATTGGGGTCTCAACAATCACAACACCAATGTGGGTGCTGCTGCCGTTGTAGTTGGTGGTGTACAGGGTGGAGGTGGATAGAACAGAAGCAGAACCAACCATGCCTGGAACATAGGAGGTGATCACAGATGGCATTGGGGTCTCAACAATCACAACACCAATGTGGGTGCTGCTGCCGTTGTAGTTGGTGGTGTACAGGGTGGAGGTGGATAGAACAGAAGCAGAACCAACCATGCCTGGAACATAGGAAGTAATGACACTTGGCATTGGGGTCTCAACAATCACAACACCAATGTGAGTGCTGCTGCCGTTGTAGTTGGTGGTGTACAGGGTGGAGGTGGATAGAACAGAAGCAGAGCCAACCATGCCTGGAACATAGGAAGTAATGACACTTGGCATTGGGGTTTCAACAATCACAACACCAATATGAGTGCTGCTACCGTTGTAGTTGGTGGTGTACATGGTGGAGGTGGACTTAATAGAAGCAGAACCAACCATGCCTGGAACATAGGAGGTGATCACAGATGGCATTGGTGTCTCAACAATCACAACACCAATGTGGGTGCTGCTGCCGTTGTAGTTGGTGGTGTACAGGGTGGAGGTGGATAACACAGAAGCAGAACCAACCATGCCTGGAACATAGGAAGTAATGACACTTGGCATTGGGGTCTCAACAATCACAACACCAATGTGAGTGCTGCTGCCGTTGTAGTTGGTGGTGTACAGGGTGGAGGTGGATAGAACAGAAGCAGAGCCAACCATGCCTGGAACATAGGAAGTAATGACACTTGGCATTGGGGTTTCAACAATCACAACACCAATGTGGGTGCTGCTGCCGTTGTAGTTGGTGGTGTACAGGGTGGAGGTGGATAGAACAGAAGCAGAGCCAACCATGCCTGGAACATAGGAAGTAATGACACTTGGCATTGGGGTCTCAACAATCACAACACCAATATGAGTGCTGCTACCGTTGTAGTTGGTGGTGTACATGGTGGAGGTGGACTTAATAGAAGAAGAACCAACCATGCCTGGAACATAGGAAGTAATGACACTTGGCATTGGGGTTTCAACAATCACAACACCAATATGAGTGCTGCTGCCGTTGTAGTTGGTGGTGTACAGGGTGGAGGTGGATAGCACAGAAGCAGAACCAACCATGCCTGGAACATAGGAAGTAATGACACTTGGCATTGGGGTTTCAACAATCACAACACCAATGTGGGTGCTGCTACCGTTGTAGTTGGTGGTGTACAGGGTGGAGGTGGATAGAACAGAAGCAGAACCAACCATGCCTGGAACATAGGAGGTGATCACAGATGGCATTGGGGTTTCAACAATCACAACACCAATGTGGGTGCTGCTGCCATTGTAGTTGGTGGTGTATAGGGTGGAGGTGGATAGAACAGAAGCAGAGCCAACCATGCCTGGAACATAGGAGGTGATCACAGATGGCATTGGTGTCTCAACAATCACAACACCAATGTGGGTGCTGCTGCCGTTGTTGTCGGTGGTGTACATGGTGGAGGTGGAGACAACAGAAGAAGAACCAACCATGCCTGGAACATAGGAGGTGATCACAGATGGCATTGGGGTCTCAACAATCACAACACCAATGTGGGTGCTGCTACCGTTGTAGTTGGTGGTGTACAAGGTGGAGGTGGATAGCACAGAAGCAGAACCAACCATGCCTGGAACATAGGAAGTAATGACACTTGGCATTGGGGTTTCAACAATCACAACACCAATGTGGGTGCTGCTGCCGTTGTAGTTGGTGGTGTACAGGGTGGAGGTGGATAGAACAGAAGCAGAGCCAACCATGCCTGGAACATAGGAGGTGATCACAGATGGCATTGGGGTCTCAACAATCACAACACCAATGTGGGTGCTGCTGCCGTTGTTGTCGGTGGTGTACATGGTGGAGGTGGAGACAACAGAAGAAGAACCAACCATGCCTGGAACATAGGAGGTGATCACAGATGGCATTGGGGTCTCAACAATCACAACACCAATGTGGGTGCTGCTACCGTTGTAGTTGGTGGTGTACAAGGTGGAGGTGGATAGCAACAGAAGCAGAACCAACCATGCCTGGAACATAGGAAGTAATGACACTTGGCATTGGGGTTTCAACAATCACAACACCAATGTGGGTGCTGCTGCCGTTGTAGTTGGTGGTGTACAGGGTGGAGGTGGATAGCACAGAAGCAGAACCAACCATGCCTGGAACATAGGAAGTAATGACACTTGGCATTGGGGTCTCAACAATCACAACACCGATGTGAGTGCTGCTGCCGTTGTAGTTGGTGGTGTACAGGGTGGAGGTGGATAGCACAGAAGCAGAACCAACCATGCCTGGAACATAGGAAGTAATGACACTTGGCATTGGGGTCTCAACAATCACAACACCGATGTGAGTGCTGCTGCCGTTGTAGTTGGTGGTGTACAGGGTGGAGGTGGATAGCACAGAAGCAGAACCAACCATGCCTGGAACATAGGAAGTAATGACACTTGGCATTGGGGTCTCAACAATCACAACACCAATATGAGTGCTGCTGCCGTTGTAGTTGGTGGTGTACAGGGTGGAGGTGGATAGCACAGAAGCAGAACCAACCATGCCTGGAACATAGGAGGTGATCACAGATGGCATTGGGGTCTCAACAATCACAACACCAATGTGGGTGCTGCTGCCGTTGTAGTTGGTGGTGTACAGGGTGGAGGTGGATAGAACAGAAGCAGAACCAACCATGCCTGGAACATAGGAAGTAATGACACTTGGCATTGGGGTCTCAACAATCACAACACCAATGTGGGTGCTGCTGCCGTTGTAGTTGGTGGTGTACAGGGTGGAGGTGGATAGAACAGAAGCAGAACCAACCATGCCTGGAACATAGGAGGTGATCACAGATGGCATTGGGGTCTCAACAATCACAACACCAATGTGGGTGCTGCTGCCGTTGTAGTTGGTGGTGTACAGGGTGGAGGTGGATAGAACAGAAGCAGAACCAACCATGCCTGGAACATAGGAAGTAATGACACTTGGCATTGGGGTCTCAACAATCACAACACCAATGTGGGTGCTGCTGCCGTTGTAGTTGGTGGTGTACAGGGTGGAGGTGGATAGAACAGAAGCAGAACCAACCATGCCTGGAACATAGGAGGTGATCACAGATGGCATTGGGGTCTCAACAATCACAACACCAATGTGAGTGCTGCTGCCGTTGTAGTTGGTGGTGTACAGGGTGGAGGTGGATAGAACAGAAGCAGAACCAACCATGCCTGGAACATAGGAAGTAATGACACTTGGCATTGGGGTTTCAACAATCACAACACCAATATGAGTGCTGCTGCCGTTGTAGTTGGTGGTGTACAAGGTGGAGGTGGATAGCACAGAAGCAGAACCAACCATGCCTGGAACATAGGAGGTGATCACAGATGGCATTGGGGTCTCAACAATCACAACACCAATGTGGGTGCTGCTGCCGTTGTAGTTGGTGGTGTACAGGGTGGAGGTGGATAGCACAGAAGCAGAACCAACCATGCCTGGAACATAGGAAGTAATGACACTTGGCATTGGGGTCTCAACAATCACAACACCAATGTGGGTGCTGCTGCCGTTGTAGTTGGTGGTGTACAGGGTGGAGGTGGATAGAACAGAAGCAGAACCAACCATGCCTGGAACATAGGAAGTAATGACACTTGGCATTGGGGTCTCAACAATCACAACACCGATGTGAGTGCTGCTGCCGTTGTAGTTGGTGGTGTACAGGGTGGAGGTGGATAGAACAGAAGCAGAACCAACCATGCCTGGAACATAGGAAGTAATGACACTTGGCATTGGGGTCTCAACAATCACAACACCAATGTGGGTGCTGCTGCCGTTGTAGTTGGTGGTGTACAGGGTGGAGGTGGATAACACAGAAGCAGAACCAACCATGCCTGGAACATAGGAGGTGATCACAGATGGCATTGGGGTTTCAACAATCACAACACCAATATGAGTGCTGCTGCCGTTGTAGTTGGTGGTGTACAGGGTGGAGGTGGATAGCACAGAAGCAGAACCAACCATGCCTGGAACATAGGAGGTGATCACAGATGGCATTGGGGTTTCAACAATCACAACACCAATGTGGGTGCTGCTGCCGTTGTAGTTGGTGGTGTACAGGGTGGAGGTGGATAGCACAGAAGCAGAACCAACCATGCCTGGAACATAGGAAGTAATGACACTTGGCATTGGGGTCTCAACAATCACAACACCGATGTGAGTGCTGCTGCCGTTGTAGTTGGTGGTGTACAGGGTGGAGGTGGATAGCACAGAAGCAGAACCAACCATGCCTGGAACATAGGAAGTAATGACACTTGGCATTGGGGTCTCAACAATCACAACACCAATATGAGTGCTGCTGCCGTTGTAGTTGGTGGTGTACAGGGTGGAGGTGGATAGCACAGAAGCAGAACCAACCATGCCTGGAACATAGGAGGTGATCACAGATGGCATTGGGGTCTCAACAATCACAACACCAATGTGAGTGCTGCTGCCGTTGTAGTTGGTGGTGTACAGGGTGGAGGTGGATAGAACAGAAGCAGAGCCAACCATGCCTGGAACATAGGAAGTAATGACACTTGGCATTGGGGTCTCAACAATCACAACACCAATATGAGTGCTGCTACCGTTGTAGTTGGTGGTGTACAAGGTGGAGGTGGACTTAATAGAAGAAGAACCAACCATGCCTGGAACATAGGAAGTAATGACACTTGGCATTGGGGTCTCAACAATCACAACACCAATATGAGTGCTGCTGCCGTTGTAGTTGGTGGTGTACAGGGTGGAGGTGGATAGAACAGAAGCAGAGCCAACCATGCCTGGAACATAGGAAGTAATGACACTTGGCATTGGGGTTTCAACAATCACAACACCAATATGAGTGCTGCTGCCATTGTAGTTGGTAGTGTACAGGGTGGAGGTGGATAGCACAGAAGCAGAACCAACCATGCCTGGAACATAGGAAGTAATGACACTTGGCATTGGGGTCTCAACAATCACAACACCAATATGAGTGCTGCTGCTGTTGTAGTTGGTGGTGTACAGGGTGGAGGTGGATAGCACAGAAGCAGAACCAACCATGCCTGGAACATAGGAAGTAATGACACTTGGCATTGGGGTTTCAACAATCACAACACCAATGTGGGTGCTGCTGCCGTTGTAGTTGGTGGTGTACAAGGTGGAGGTGGATAGCACAGAAGCAGAACCAACCATGCCTGGAACATAGGAGGTGATCACAGATGGCATTGGGGTCTCAACAATCACAACACCAATATGAGTGCTGCTGCCGTTGTAGTTGGTGGTGTACAAGGTGGAGGTGGATAGCACAGAAGCAGAACCAACCATGCCTGGAACATAGGAGGTGATCACAGATGGCATTGGGGTCTCAACAATCACAACACCAATGTGGGTGCTGCTGCCGTTGTAGTTGGTGGTGTACAGGGTGGAGGTGGATAGCACAGAAGCAGAACCAACCATGCCTGGAACATAGGAAGTAATGACACTTGGCATTGGGGTCTCAACAATCACAACACCAATGTGAGTGCTGCTGCCGTTGTAGTTGGTGGTGTACAGGGTGGAGGTGGATAGCACAGAAGCAGAACCAACCATGCCTGGAACATAGGAAGTAATGACACTTGGCATTGGGGTTTCAACAATCACAACACCAATATGAGTGCTGCTGCCGTTGTAGTTGGTGGTGTACAGGGTGGAGGTGGATAGCACAGAAGCAGAACCAACCATGCCTGGAACATAGGAGGTGATCACAGATGGCATTGGGGTCTCAACAATCACAACACCAATGTGGGTGCTGCTGCCGTTGTAGTTGGTGGTGTACAAGGTGGAGGTGGATAGAACAGAAGCAGAGCCAACCATGCCTGGAACATAGGAGGTGATCACAGATGGCATTGGGGTCTCAACAATCACAACACCAATGTGGGTGCTGCTGCCGTTGTAGTTGGTGGTGTACAAGGTGGAGGTGGATAGCACAGAAGCAGAACCAACCATGCCTGGAACATAGGAGGTGATCATGCTTGGAGCATGCGAGATCAGAGCGGTTGGCATTGGTGTTTCTACAATCACAATGTCAATGTGGGTGCTGCTACCCTTGGAGTTCGTAGTGTAAGATGTGAGGGTGAAGAGAACATCAGTCGAATCAATCATACCTGCAACGAATGATGTAATTACACTTGCCATTGGGGTCTTAACGCTTACATCGTCCATTGGAGTGCTGCTACCCCTGGGGTTGGTGGTGGAGTCATCAGAGGCAGATCCAATCATCGTTGGAGCATGTGAGATCATAGCAGTTGGCATTGGAGTCTCAACAATTACTATGTCAATTGGAGTGCTGCTACCCTTGGAGTTGGTGGTGTAGGAGGTGAGGGTGAAAAGAACAGTGGTTGAATCAACCATGCCTGCAACGAACGATGTGACCGCACTTGGTATTGGAGTGGCCACTACAACAACAACTTCTGGAGATGAAGAACCGTTACTGTCAGTGACGATAGTAGTATAGGTGGTTGTGGTTGGGGCAGAAATGCTTGCAGCAGTAGTAGTGTAGGAGGTGGATGGCGATGGGGTGATCACAACAACAACAACCTCTGGAGAAGATAAGCCATCGTAGTTAACGGCTGTAGTATAGGTGGTTGTGGTTGGAGCTGTGACATCTGCAGTAGTAGTGGTGTAGGAGGTAGATGGCGATGGGGTGATCACTTTCACAACAACCTCTGGAGAGGAAGAGCCATTGCTATCAGTGACAGTGGTTGTGTAGGTGGTTGTAGTTAAAGCTGTGACATCTGCAGTAGTAGTAGTATAGGAGGTGGATGGAGTCGGGGTGATCACTACCACAACAACCTCTGGAGAAGATGCACCGAAATTGTCCATAACTGTGGTTGTGTAAGTAGATGTAATTGGAACTTTGACATCTGCGGTAGTCGTAGTGTAGGAGGTGGCTACAGCTGGGGTGATCACTACCACAACAACTTCCTCAGATGAAGAGCCATTGCTATCAGTGGTAATAGTGGTGTAAGTAGTGGTTGTTAGGAAAAAAACTGGAGCAGAAGTGGTAGTGTAGGTGGTAGATGGTGGTGGATCAATCACCACTATGACAGCCTCATTAAACTCTCCGGTACGTTCATAATTATTGTTGTAGTTAGTGACTCTAGTATAATAGGTGGTTGTAGTTCGAGCTTTGACATCTGCAGTAGTAGTGGTGTATAATGTGGCTGGCCACGGACCATACGAGAACGTGACCCACATTATAGATGTCACACCGTTATTCTGGTAGTTGTCCTGTGCCATTGCAGCGCCACCCACTGGAAGTCCCAAGTATGTAACAGTTGTTGTTCGCATTGGCTCGTCAATAACTGTAATGATGTTTACCTGCGCGTCGTCCTTATTGAACCAATCTGTCGTAGTGATGGTGGTAACAGTGCTAGGTGTAGGCAAATCTCGTCTATAAGCTTGAACAGTCATACCGTACTGAGTATTGAAAATGGTTGTATAAGGATGACTAACGGTAAGTGCAGAACAAAACTCCTCCCGATCCTCTTCATCTTCCGCGTACGAGTATATAGCATCACCGAAATCAGTGACAATCATACCACCAGGTAGATGGATAGCCACTTTAAGGATACCTCTTTGTTTCACGTTAGTATAAACAGCTTTAAATGGATAGGAATACCCAGCCTCCAGATACACCTTATGACCACCTCCCCCTAACCTACCACCTTCACCCGAAGTAAGTCTGAATATAGGATCATTAGCATCGGAGAAGGATGATGTTCGGTTACAGCAATCAAAGGCCGAACCAGCACCAAAGAAAAAAGCGGCATAATCGTCCACTTCTAGGGACATAGTGTAAATACCAGTAAATGGGGCAACAAAGTAACCAGTGGCCACCATCGTAAAGTGTGTGATAGGCACTCCCGTATAACCATATGGGGGCACAGTTGCAGGCCAACCGGAATCCCAGTTAAGATTTGTGACACCTTTGATTTCACCAACATAAGGAAATTTCTTATAACCACTGATGGGAAAGTCTGGATTATTGATATCTACAATATCATCAAGCATATATTCGTAGAATTGGACGGTAGCACCTGGCTGGATTATTTTTCCAGTAAGGCATGCTTTTGGGGTGATATTACCAGCGAACGAAACATGAAAAACCGTAAAAAGCAACAGAATGGAGAGAAACTTTCTAGTGATTGAACGTATATCACTGTGCATTTTGAATGAATGAATGTCTTGGGTTGTAGAGAAAAAGATTTGTGTACTTTTTCCCTGGGTTGAGCAAAGATACTTTAAGAGACTTATTACTTGATCAAACTTTTAATTTTACCTGTGTTTAATGCTCTTGGAGCTGTGGTGTTTTATTCATAGCAAGAAGGAAGTAAAGGGAAACAAATTACGAAAAGAAGAGATGACCAAATCATATAGTATTTATTTTTATATCTTTAGAAATATGAACAATCTAACAAAAAAACATCAAGACATTTATAAAAAAACTTGTAGATTGAATTAAAAGTATTGTTCTCTTGGTCATAATAAACAATAAAAGACAAATATTTTTACAAAAAACTATGATAACGGTTGATAACAATTAAAATCCTTGAGATCAAGGAGACATGTCTTTGTTGAGATGAAAATAAAAAAAAGAAGCAAAAGAGCTTAGTAATAAACAAATTCAGGGAAAAGCACTTGATGTTTACGATTCTTGGTCATTAAAAATGTTTATTGGTAAAAAATGCTTTATAATAAGATAAGAGAACTTACATCAACTCTTTGCTAAAAAAACCAATGGAAAAAAGGACAAATACGCAATGCATGTCCTATTGTCGCACAAGAATATCCCGATTTGTATAAGATTTGTCCAACAGTTCTGAAGGAACTGTAAAAAAACACTTTCAAAGTTAGCTTTTTCTGGAATTTTTTTTTCTACTCTGGAAATAATAGAAATAAAACAGTATTTTCGGTAAATACAGTGAGAGAATTAAAAATGTCTTTTCCTGTTAAGACACACAAAAAAAGAAAGGAAAGGAAAAGGGGTAAACGCAAAAATAGAGTTTCAAAAAAGTGCTTTTATCTTCAATAGTTTTCCAAAGACTTACCAAGGAGCAGCGCAACAAATAATAGTATAATAGAATAAAATAAGACAACAAATAATAAAAGAATAAAAACGATGGTAACAATGAAAGAAAATAGTACCAGTAAGTGTTGCCCAAAAAAATTGATAGATCTCTCTTACGTGTTGCATATACATAATATCGGCAAATAACTTTAGAAGAATAGATTATTTTTGGAATATTAGATGGAACAATGTTATTTGTAGAAAAACATAAGATGTGAGATTGAATAGTGAGATTTTTTGACCTATTGAGAATTATTTTCCTACAGTGTATGTATTTTTAATAAAATAATAAAAGCAAGATTACTATTTTAAAATTGTAACCTTCAAAAATTTTTGAACATCCATAAAAATATGTCTTTCAAGAAAAAAATTTGGAAAATAAAACAAGAAGTTTCAAATCTTTTGTTTTTGACTTTCTTTTTCTTATTTGTCTGTTTTAAATTTCCTTTCTAGTATATCCCCCACCCCAACAAACTTGGAAAAACAAAAGAACTGATCATATTATGATCTGAAAATTTATAGTAAAAAAGTCGTTTTTAAAAGAGTAGATGTTGCTTTTTTTGGGGATTTTTTTTGTTTTTGTTTTAAAAAAATTTTTCAATGTTCCGTGAATGATATCATCCAGAGGTAGACAAAAGTTATGCACGGTTTATTTGATGCCATATGTATTGTTCTTTTTATTAAAGATTTTGATCGTTCCCTAAAACCGGTTCATATGATTATTGAATACAAAAGCATCTTTTAATTGAGGTATAATAATATCGTACTATTTTTTACTATTAACATGCGTTTACAACCAATTAGCACGGCACAGTTGTGTATTGGAACAACTAAACTAGAGTTTAAAAAAACTGGATTTTTTGTATTGAATTTAGGTGATGAAAAATTTTTTATCATGGAACTATTGTTATATCAATATGTCTGGTGATGTCAAGTATCAGTATCAAACACTTTGATCTTATTTATTACAAGCTAATAGAACAAAATAATAGAAAATAGCAATAAGACATTAACGATATTATAGGTTATCAGCTATTTATTGAATGTTATTGGTACTATAAATATATCTTATTATTGTGCATGTCCTTTTGTTTTACACAATGATCATACAAGATATATCAATATGCAGTGTAACTTTTTTTGCCTTAGATTCCTCTTTTCTACATGTTTTTATAAATTTGTGTTTATGTACTACTATAAATTTACATTATCAAAGATATCTATAATTACAACTCAATAATAAAAATTAAGAGGTGTTGCCTTAATTTCTCATATTGTTAAAAATAACATATCGGTAATTTACTCCCGATACCAACAATTACCACATTTCTTTTTCATCTTAGAATTACTCTGGCCATTACCTGCTCTTACTTTACTTCTTCTACCATTCAAACTTTTTTCAACATCTTGTTTTCATTATTACTACAGTCACCCTTGAAAATCCCTAGATACTTCTTTCTTAGGGCTTATCATATTTTCCATATTTCTAGTTTTTTCATTCTTTTAATTTTTCTTTACAATACTTTATTAAGGTATTATACTGTTTCATTTATCTACCATTCTCCCTTTTTTACACATATGATACTCACACCACATCTTACTAAGAAGTACTAATTGAACTCCTAAAATACATAGTCTGCAGGTAACGTTGAATCTTAAGGCAAAGGACTTGGAACAGTTAAAAGACTAGGTACAGGCTGTGAATGTATTCGAACGAGCAATCGTTGGACTAATGTTGGTGGCAAATAACTTGAAAACTTATTTAAGAAGCCGTCGATTACTGAGAGTCCTCTGGATGAATAATATTAGTACACATGTCTTTAACGTCGGTGATCATATTATATGTTATTATTATGTTAACATGTAGAGTTATTTTCCCTCGATCTTTTATTTGGGGATTAATAGTTATATTGTTAGAACACAGATAGTACGTCTATTAGGTTTCCTTATTAAAGACTGTTTTATTATGTTGTTAATAATAATCAAAAGAGAAAAATTTTAAGAAAAAAAAATTTTAAGAAAAAAAAATTTTAAGAAAAGAATCAAAAGAGAGACCATTTTATATTTGTTTATAACATATTATGTAATTATATACATTAGTTTTTTAGGTTTTTAATAAACCAGAGATCCAATTTACTAATACGTTAGGTCATGACTGTATCAAATACAAACACTACTACTTTCTATGATATATAAATATAAAAGAAGCATACAATATAACGTAATTTATCCAGATTGGAAAATTAATAACTAAAGTCATCTACTTATATGTGTTTACCTTTTAGAAGTTTTTCATAATATGTTGATTTATTTTCATTCTGTGTGGTCTTATCTCCCTAATATTGATTGTGCAAAACAAACATTTTTCCTCTTTGATATATTTACATGTTTCTCATGCCACTAATACATCATTTCAGCAATAAATCTACAAAATGCTTAAGCTGGATATTTTTTGGTTACTTCTGACTATATTTATTTTTTTAAGGACAACTAATGAAAAAACTCAGAAGATTAAAACAATATTTTTGCCCACAATATTATTTAGTAAATATAGGATTATGGAATTAATTGTTCAGAAAAAATGTAAGTCTAAGGAGTTATTATCAAGTTTATTATCTAAGCAAAAAGAATTTTAAAGAACATGCCATATTGAGTATACGATTATTTGAGTCCCCACTGTTTCTTAACATTTTTGTTGAGGAAAAAGAGTTAACAATTAATTTTCTTTATATTGTATACAATATATGCAAAGATATGGTCTATTATTCCAAATTTTTGTGTTGAATATGAAGATGGTACAAAAAGTTTCACTCTATGTTGTTTTATTTTTGAAACAAAAAAAAATCACCCTTCTTACAGCGTATTAAAAAACAAGACAAGATTTTGAAGACCTAATAATAATGAATAACTTAGTTCCTACACAAATAATCGCACATAAATGAAATATCTTAAGAACACTTACATAACTTATCAATTAATGAATGGACAATTACTCCAAATTCTTAAATAAAAGTTGTAATTTGTGACTAGTTGGCTGTTTTTTTATAGTCAATTTGGTTTATTCATTTTATAGTTCTTACTTGAATATATATTCTTTTTCAAAATTATTACCTGTACATATTGAAATAAAGTATGCACCTACCCAATTCTAACTATTTTGTAGTTAAAAATGTGAAAAAATTAACGTAAGGCTCTTCCTCTATCTACTTTCAACCTAGTGCTTGAACAGTATTACAGAACAACATAAATAAAATAAAAATATTGTACAAAGAATGTCTTGCCTTTAGATACATAAATATTGAGTAGTCTTTTTTTGTGAACAACAAAAAATATCCAACTACTGCATGGTAAATACTCATACAATAAATAAGGCATGAAATATATATAAATTTTTATTTATTTTTAAACAAAATACAAGGGGAGATAATATATACGTAATAGTTATCAGCTTCCATTGTAACTAGTAATCGAATTAAATCTATAAGAAACACGCCTACATTTTCATTTTGGTTTTCTTAAAAACAATGTCAGGCACTAAAAGTATCTATTTTTAGGGTAAAAGCACCATATCTTTTCTTAAACCCTACTTTATTTTCATCTAATAAATGAGAATTTTCGAAAATATTAACTCAAAGAGCTCGACAATCGTATAAGAAAAAACAATAGAAGGCACAACTATTCTATACCACACCAGTTTGGAATTGTTAAAATATAATATATAGCCAACTGTACAAATGGAAAAAAGAACATAGATCTTATTGTCACTCTAGTTCCATGTTAGAGTATCATGGATTTTTTTTCCTGTGTATTGGCAAAATACATGAGATATAACTGAATATCCGTCTCTAAATTTCCACAGTATATAAACTGGTCTTTATTAATTTGTTTCATTTATTTTTAACAAATTTTGTAAATCTCTTTTTTTATCATACTTGTTCTTATTTCTTTCTCACCTAAATATCTACAAATAGAAATTAACAAAAAATAATAATATAAATTTATCTAAAGTCAAATAATATGAAATATTACCTGTTTGATATTATTAAAACGCACACACCAATTGTGTGGTCCTTAGTGGGATTGCATGTAACCAAAAGAA